CACTTCTTTTTGGCGAGTAAAAATGTGCATAGGTGATACGAGCTGTTCGGTTTTTGTCAATCACCTCGTATATGTGCGCGTTATCGGTACATCACGTGTTCCACCCCACTTGGATCCCCTCGATCGGCCAGCAAATGCTCTCCGCGAAATTGCCCCGACTCAGCGGGTAATGGGATTAACGTCGCAAGTCGTCATGTAAGTGTACCTAGTTATAGTTAGCCAGTCGGATAAGTAGGCAAGCGGTCTAGTTAAGCAGGGAAATTGGTTGATCGATGTCGCGGCCAGGATTAAGGGTAGACACGTCGAAGATTGCCGGTGACTCGGCAGTGATCCAGAATTCAGCATGGATTTCCCAGGAAGTGGTGATAACGAACCGCCACCCCGAACCGCTTTAGTGATATCGGGAAAACCACCGGAGATGACGATTAGAGCGGATTCAGAGACGAGGGGAGGCTGAATTTCCGGGGATGGGAAGGGAAACAGAAATCATGTATGATAAGAAGTATGATAAGCAAACCCGAAGGGATCGATTCGATCTCGCCCCACCGATTGGTCGATTCGAGGCCGTATAAAATCCTGATTAATAATTGAATGACTCCTCGACGACCCTCCGATGTAACGTTGAAACCTCGATGACACCTCGTTGAGGCCTTCTCAAAATTCCGACTACATATCGATGACACCCAGGTGATAATTCGAGAACTCCTGGGTGAATTCTATTGCAATCCAGTAGGAACCTTAATGACAACCCGATGCCACCCTTCCTCGAATCTCGTGGAACTCTTAATGACACCCAGGTGACACCCTTGATAAAATGATAAAATTTCCACGCTATCGGGCATCCGGAGCACGAAGGCATCTCCAACTCGTACTTCCCTGCGAGTCATTGCGTAATGACTGCACCTGGGGGGTATTGTATAAGTGCACGTATGCAAAGTGCATACACGCGGCCGAGTGTAGGTACAACTCGTGCATCCAATCTGGTTCTCGCTGTCCTTACCTGTCATCGATCTTGGGTAAGTTTCCACAGATATATCGTCACCCGGTGATCACGAGTCGGTCTATCTCTCTCTCTGTCGTTTCCCTTCCTCTCTCTCGAATAGAAGTACACGTGGGGGTTGACTTACATCTTTAACCGGACGTCGCGATCGCCGGACTCGGAAAAGTGCCTCTTCCCTCCTTCTCGCTCCTCATTTTTTGTCCTATAAGAGAGAGAGGGACGTTCAATCGACTCATTCGTTATGCAAATCCACGGCCGTATCGTTTTCTTCGAGTCTACTTTCTATCGGCTTTGGCGAGCCGTCATCGAGGATTCTCTCTAGACCGCCGGCTTTGTCGCGACATGGCGACTGGCTCGTCGTCGCAATCAGCATTTCTCCTGATCGATATCGAAACCTAACGCAATTTTACCTCCGCAAATGCACATGCACTCGGAGCGAGGCTCCCAGGACAATATATCCCCGAGAGCTGCGCCTCCGCGTCTGTAATTAATTCAAGAAGCGGAGTCGATTGTCTAATGGGCATGCAGAATTCAGGTACTTCCCGCCTTCACCTGAATAATAGGCGACTTTAAATCGAGACTTCGGGAACCGAAAGTTATATTCCCGGGGAGGAACGCGGAGAACAAGGAATATACGATACGATGTACAATGTACAATACGCAATATATACCTATACATGAGCGATAAGACACATGAGCGCCTTCAAGACATTGATGGGACCCCTTGTCAAATTTAACCCGAGTTTAAATTTTTCTATATAATTACCCCTTTTAAATATGTACTTTTCAGTGAAACGTTCGGTTTCTGCTACTCTCCATATTGAAGCTACACGGAATTTAATTAATTTACGTAACCTCTCGAGTAATCGACGCGAATTCCCATAACATCTGCAGTTTTATCTCCTTATCGAGATAAACTCGGACGCGACAAGGTGGAGTGGCGAGGTGTAAACGCAGGTACGATTCCGGGACAGTCGGTGCGGTCGTTCCGGGCGGTTTTAGCGGGCGCAGTTTCCATCCAGTAGCTGTAAAAATCCCGAGGGAGCGGGCTCGGTAACCGTATATAAAGGCGCTTTTCATGGGTTTGTATATCTCCCATAATAAAGGCGAGAGCAAGTCGGTGACTCGTTTCGCCCCGGCGAGATTTAACTACGCTTTCCAACCACCCACTTGCCTCCCTCTCTCCCTCTCTCTCTCCCTTCCTCTCTTTCTAAGGCCTTAAAGCCCTCCTCCTCGTTCGCGTGTCCACCCTCGAGGCCGTCTCGTCCTCCTCTGCGTTCCAATCAAAGTAAAAGTTCGTGCCTAGATGCGTCCTCTCGTCCCGGCGCCTCTCCCGTCCCATCTTCGAGACGTCCTCTTCCCTCGGGACCCGCCGCTCGGCGCCGGTCCTCGTCGGTCAGGATCGCCGCTTCTCCCTTTCCGAATCCTTTCCGACCCCTTCCTGCTCTTTTCGACCCCTTTCCGAAGCGCGACAAGACAGGGCCGTCGACTCGACTCACCCCTCGCCCTCTTTCGGGATACTTTCCCCCATATCCACCCTGGACACTTTTCCCTCCCCAGCCAGAAAACCGCCCGAATGTGTCCACCATAATTTATTTATTTATTAATCGACAACTAATAACCCTAAATAAACTCCTCACCTTCATAAATATTTATTAAATACCGAACTGCCGAATTTTTTCGTTAATTACTCGGTGCCGTTCCGCTTATCCATCCTCCTCGCGCTGTTTATATGCACTTGGTGCGCGACTCTACGGAGCTTTTTCACGCCGAAATTCTTTTCTGAGGCTTCTCGATCTCGAATGGAAGAAAAGGGTGGCAGGGTGTGCCAGTCTGTCGGTCGGAGGAAAATCGGGGAGAGTCGTGGCGCCGAAAACGTCTTCATCTTCGGAGCGTAGCGCCGATAAAGGCGCGCGGGATATGATAGGGCTGTAAACCCTCCGCTGTATATCCGCGACTCATGGCCTGTCCCGTAACGTCTGGATGGTCCGATTCTCGACCCTACGGTCAGGGGATGTAAAAGCCGAGTGAAAATCGGCACCGAGGCCCGTAAACCGGTGGACGCGCCTGTATTGTGAGGCGCACCCCTAAGCATCATTTCGCCGTAAAGATCGGGCGATTCGCCCTCGAGTCGCGGATCCGAATCGCAGTGTCCGCGCTCGCTCGACTGTTTCCGCGCTCCCTGAAGAAAATCGCCGCTAAAGGGATTTACGGGGACGGCGAAGATGCGCCGAGCCGTTGATCTGTATTTTTGCGAAATCGCCGGCTTTCTCCCCAGCGCAGGGATGATCGGTCTTCCCACCTTTTTACAAGGAAATAAGACCTCTGCCTTATCTCGATCAATCGCAAGTAAGGCTCCGATTGTGGCGCGAGTGGATAACACGGACGGTGGATCAGCGAAAATCGGATTTCAACCCCTGTAACATCCTGGACTCGTGAGAGCCAGAAAAACAAAAGACCTCTAACCGCTCTTCTGAATTTTAATAATAATTTTATCCCCAGCCGATAAGAAGCCTCTTTTTTTATATTAGATTAGATAAACAGGACCATTTATTGAAGTCGTTCTGCCGGGATTTTGGAATTTCTGGTATGGATCTGTTCCGTAAATTTGAGGACACGTTTTAGCAAGGGCTCGATAATTTCTTTCAATGAAATGAACCACGCATTAATTTGGAGTATATTTCTCGGGGTCGATCGTTCCTTCCCACCCTCTCGGCAGTTTTTCTTTTAGGCGCGCAATTATCGCCAAGGGAGATTCACCGACAAAGGAACTTTAAAATGACCTCAGAAAAGAGAGGAATCTTAGAGCGAGATGCAAGGCTCAGACGAGATTCTTCATTCCTCGAAGTGATATCCGCGGGTACTTCCCACTGCTCGAGGGAAATGGCCATTCCAAAAATTAAACATCCCATAGATCGTGCAAAGTGTGCGCGAAGTGTACCGAAGAGCTTTAGAGAATCCCCAGGACTTTGGAAAATAGTCCTTATGGAGCCAAATAAACCACACATATCAATTTTAGAGTGATCCTCGTTCATATTAAAAATATTCCAAAAATCCAAACACTCATGGTAAACGCGGCAGGGAAATTGGAAAAATTCGATGTCCCAAAATTGAATCAATACCCGCCTATCGTTAATTTCTAGACACAATTCCACGTCGTTAGGATTCCGTGAAATTGCGTGCATTTACATGCACATCTCACTTGGAAATGCCATGAAAAATTATACATTGATGCATCCTGCCCGGCAGATATTTCCAATAGGGTAAAAAAATTTCGAGAATTTCTGACAATTACTATTTTCTACCAGCCACAATGTTTTATTTAACAATTAATCACCGCGCGATAACGCGATGTCGGGGGGCTGGACTTGCACAAGGAGTGCGAGGTGAAGGAGGAAATCGGAGGGAGAGGTCAGAGATACCGATAGGAGCGATCGCGTCGTCTCAAGTGCAACTGCAACTGCAACTGCACTCGGGCGGCCGTACATCCCCGCCCCCCGTGGCCGTGTATTTCCACGAATAATGGAAACGAGACGTCCTCGTGCTCGGAGGCATCTCGTTTATCGGTGTGTACGTACATGCACGCATTTACAAGCGGCCATAGTGCGCCAGTAAGTACGGGGCGTGACGCAAGGACATAATCCGCATATCCTTATAAACGCGTCGCTCGGAGTCCTGTTCCTCCACCAAGAGGGGAAAGAGAAGGGGGCCTTCTTATTTTCATGCGTTACGATTATCGTGTCTCGTACGTTCCCTTTATGCGCCGGTCCCGGGGCCATTCTCGAAATCGCAATTCTCGGGGGGCCCCACCCACCCCCGCCCTTCTTTACGGTCCCTTTACTTTGATTTTCGACTTGGTTAACTTTGCGCATCCCGAAGTGCACTCCTCCGCCCTTTTTCCCGATCTCGGATCGACGGACTCGATTTTTCCCCAGCGTTACGTGGGGATCTCTGCACCCTCCTCGCGGGTCTTTTAAGTGTGCCTTTCGGTTTCTTTCAGAACTCGATAAGACACAACCTGTCTCTGCACAACAGGTTCATGAGGGTGCAAAACGAGGGCACAGGGAAGAGCTCGTGGTGGATGATCAATCCTGATGCAAAGCCCGGCAAATCCGCCCGTCGAAGGTGAGTCGATTAGTAAACTTCCTAATTTAAAGTACACGGTCTTGTGTCAAAATCGGACTAAACTTCGCGGATAATGACCGCGGTTATATCGGACTTCGAATTGCACAACGATTTGTCGGACATTTTTTTAATCCGCTTGTACAGTTAAAGAGCGTCCGTTGAATGCATCTACAAGTGCATTGTAAATTAAGTTTACCTTGTTAGAATGGTACTACCGATATTTATTCGATGTTTTTAATATTAGATAATCGGATGACTCGAGGTCTTGACCGTTAATGAGAATTAGATTAAATATTATTTTATACACTTATCATTGTACCTGATAAGCGATAAGGAAATCGTGCTTCTTCGTGGTCGCCAGGAATTTCGGTGAAAATCATTTATTGTTGGTCAGGGCCACGTCGATGGAGACGAATAAATTTGAGAAAGGTCGATGTCGCGTCAAGAAGAAGGTGGAGGCGCTGAGGAACCGAGGACTGCAGGCGGATGCAACTCCGAGTCCCAGCAGCAGCGTCAGCGAAGGATTGGACCTCTTCCCGGACAGTCCTCTGCACCCTGCAAGTGGTTTCCAATTATCCCCTGATTTTCGGTACGTTTCCGGCCCTTCGTATTACGTGAATATGCGCGCAACGTGAACATGCCCAATTAATTGCCTTATCCACGGATACCGATAATTATACGAATTATCTAAGTTAAAAAAAAAGGAAACATAAAACTCAATTTATTCCATACATCGAGTTGCGTACATTTAATTAATGTGAAGCTGGTTTTCCAACAAATGAAAATTACTTAGACTTAAGTGGTTATCGGAGTTTCAACGAAAAGTAAATGCCGAAGTTGAGATCGATCGGACTTTATTACTTAACAAATTACTTAACAAATTTTCTCGTTCAACAGCCCAAGAGCATCCAGCAACGCGTCATCTGGGGGCAGGTTGAGCCCTATACCTGCAGTCTTGAGCGAACCTGATTGGACGCCGACTTACACACCTTCGTACAGTCCTGAACAACTAGGTACGTATGTAACAGGATCGTTACATTGTGCTCGATCGAGCAAACCAACATTCCCTCCAAAGGGTCAGCTCGCCCCGAATTTCCAAAATAATTCGGCTGCCCAAACAGGTAACGCAATCAATATCTAATGTAAACCATGCGGAGTGTATATTATTCTCCATTTTAGTAGTAATTGCTCAGGATCGGATTAAAAATTTCGGAAGTTGAATAACCTCGGATTAACGAAGTTCAGGTTGCACCGACGAAAATGGGACTAACTGGAGATTAAAATCCGCCGTTAGTTAACCACCCGACATCGGGCGATTACCTCTAGTTAAGGCGATGTGAAAGTGGCGTAGAAAAAAATCTCCTTCATGAAATTCTCCGAACCGGGTGCACCGAATCGTTTCAAACTTTACAACGCGAATGTGGAGGATATAAGGAAGGTCCTGACACCCATAAAATTTCATTTTTTTAAAACTTGTATATAGACACTTTTAACATTTTTGATTAAGAAATGACATTTCTTTGTCAGGACCTTCCTTAATAATTTGGCAAATGATTAAGGTGAAGTGAAACACGTCGAGGAACTTGATCGACGTCGGTAAAAAAGGTTTTTTCTAAATACCTACGTTGCCGACTTTCGTTTTTATATCGACAGCTGTGTCTAATTACATTGAGTATCATACTAAATGTCATACTCTATCTGTTAAAAAAATGTTGACAAGAGGTATTGTTTAAAAATTCAAATTTTGTAAGTGTCAGGATAATTCCTAGGTGCTCACAGGTCATGTGTCAAAGTTTCGGACAGTTCCATCCCATACTCTTAAAAACAAGGGTCTTATTATCTAATACCAATTGATATTAACTTATGTCATATTCAGCGGGCAGTCTGGCGGAGACGATGAAGCTAGAGTCCTACCAGATGTACCAGACCTCTCCTCCGAGTCACCAGCAACAGAGTGGGCCCCCGCCGACGTACTTCGAGGCCCAGTACCAGCGCAGCAACTCCTTGCGCAGCGCATCCTCCCCGTACGGGTTGCCGCCGACTCCTCAGGGCAGCAACCAGCAGAGGTGTCCCATGCATCGCCTGCAGCCCTGCGGCTGCCAGATGGTCGGTAACGGACACCCAAACGGCGTGATTCGCGAAGATCCTCCGACTTCAACTTGTCTCTTCCCTTCGAAACCCAAGCAGAACCTGAGCCCGGTATCCGGCATGTCGCCCTCGTATGCGCAGAGCGAGTCCAGCGCGGCCGCGATCGGCAGCTCGCAGCAGCAAACTCTCCAATACCTGATACAGTCCCACCAGCGTCAGCAGCAGCAGCAGCAGCAGCAACAACAGCAACAGCAGCAGCAGCAGAGGCAACGGAACCAGACGGGTCCCGTGGGTCTCAGCCCGCCGCACACGCCTACTGCCTGCACCCCTACTCCCAGCACCATGATGGGCCAGATCATGGGAGCCCTCAACAACTCCGCCCTCCTGGACGATCTTAACATCAACATCGAACCTCTCCACGGCGGATTCGACTGCAACGTGGACGAGGTTGGTCCTCTAAGTCGCGTTGGATCAGGATTCAATTAGAGCCTCCAAGTGGAACCAATATCTCAACTCGGGTCACTGTTTAGGTTACCTTCAGATCTAATTAAGGCCAAAATTTCGATTTGGGAAAAGCCTCGAATGTTTAAAAAATACAGGGCTTGTCTAGAACCTGTCCTTAAGTAATCCCCTAGGTTTGTAAGTGTACCAAGAGCGCCTAAATGGACGATAAACATTCAACGCTGGAAAGGGAGTTGTTTTCCTTTGACGTTCGGAACGTACGTACCGGATTTCGGGACACTCCCATTTTGGTGGTTTCTACAAACCAGCGGGGGTTATTTTTTTTCCCCCGTTTGTTTAGGCGTCTATTGGCTCGTTAAACTTGGGGGAGTGGTTTTGAGCGGATTCTAGGCCAGCCTGGTATTTTGAGATGGGTACCAAGCTTCTTTGGGGACTTCGAGGGAGAGCTGAGTGTCATTTGAACCGTTCTCCAGGTGATCAAGCACGAGCTGTCCATGCACGGGACGCTGGACTTCAACTTCCAGCAGGGGGCGATGAGCACGACGGCGGTCCAGATGAACGACACCGGCGTCGTCCAGGGCGTCGGCGTCTCGCCGAACAACAGGGTGAACGCCGGTTCGGGGAACGCACCCTCGGGGGTGTACGCCAGCACGAACGCGGCCACCTCTGCGGCGCCATCTTGGGTTCACTAACGGTGAACTTTCCACCCTCGACACCCTCACCGCCATCGTCGTCAGCGTCGTCAACGTCACCCCGACCCCCGAGTGGACTCGACGCTTTCCTAGCCGCGGACAACAACCTGCCTTGTCGGTGAGTCACTTCCACTCATGCGACCCTAGTACAACGTCAATTAACACTTCGCTGACCGGTCTTGTTTTCATACCCGGACATTATTGACGGCACGTGCTTATGGAATTACGCAATTATTAAGCCGGCCAACAAATCGTTAAGGTGGGATAAAACTGACATACGAGGGCCCTCGTTTATGACACTTCTCCGATCCAGGTGTATCAAATCATTTGGAAATTTACCACTTGACGATAAAGACCCCGAGGAAGGTCCCGACACTGATGAAATTCCAAATATTAATGACATTTGTCTATAAACAATTTTGTACTTTTTATGACACATGAGAATTCACGGGTGTCAGGACCTTCCCTGGGACCTCCACCCCCACGTGGGAGGATTCTAAAGTCCGGTGAACCCAGGACGAAAATTTTCACGAACGACCGATCCCTTGGTGGGGATTTAAGTGGGCAGGTGTTTTAATTACAAACGTACCCTTAAGGTCGGGAAATATCGAGAGGAGAGGAAAGGGGAAAAGAGCTCGGTTACCTATGGCGCTTTGCAGGGCACCGAAACCGGGGGATGACTTTTGGTTTCCGCGAGCTTGGCCGGTGGATCGGACGCGGGGGATGGGATACCGGGGGGAGGGCCGAAGTTTCTTCGGGGGTTGTGGAGGCGCCGGCAAGGGGACGGGGGAGGGGCCGACTCGGGGGCGCGGGAAGAAATCCGGAGCCCTCCTCTCCCAACTTTATAATTCTTGCGACGCTTTTGGGGAATGAGATTGTCGGAGGGGGTGGGTCGGCTTCTCGGGGTGGCGAGGTCGAGCCGGGAGCCCAGGGGTGGTTAAGGTAGTCCGCCGGCGCCACTGACGTCTGCCGAATAGCTGCTGACTTCCAGACTCCGCGCAGCCCCGGCTAAGTGGTTCCCCGTGTCCCCCTCCCAGACCACCCCCCGCGAACTGCACCCTCTATGCCGAGGACCCGCGAACCTGCGATTTCGATTGCGAAGTCCAGACCTCCTAATTATACCTTTTTTACCTGTCATCCATTCTATCAGACGATCGGTTGTTTTCGTAATGCCATTGCGAAATTATACAGGCGGAATTTACAATTGATAAATGAACCAGGGAACATTTATTATAAATTTCGGAATAATCTGAAATTTTACACAGCGGTACAATTTTGGGGGAAGCGTCTAGGAATATATTAATGCAGCCGTGTGCTGGACTTATGACATTAAGGTATATAAGAAAATATCTTTTGGGATTAGGGGGTGTTTTGGTGTTCGACTCAAACTTGTCAAAAGGAAGCGGAATGATGTCGCCAGTCGAATCGCGGCTTATCGTGTCTGACGTCGGATAGATTTCGCTATTTTTCCGAAGGGACCGAAGTAATCTACGCCCCTAAAAATCTAACAGTAACGGTGTAATTAAAAAAGCAAGTTCCGGACCGGTGTGGTCGACATGCGCGGCAGTGTACATACCTATAATGAAATACGCGAGTTACCGGATGTAGCCCGCGGCTTTAATACCGCGCGTAAGCCCGCGGGGGTCTTTTTACCATTTCGGTTATTGAAAAATATTTTTCCAAAAGCAAATATCGAGACCGGGCCGCATTTACTCGGCGAGCCTACGTGTGAGATATTACGGGCGGGCCGATCGAGATTCCGGATTTTAGACCGGTCGGAAAATATTCACTCGGTGTTTTTACGAAGGAATTGTTTTTTGTCACAGACGCGTTGCTTCCCTTCCAGGCTAGTTTTACGTCGTCCTCGCTTTCCGCATTTTTTTCCCCACCACTCTGTTTTTTTTTTCTATTTTTTTTATTAAACATCCTTTGTTATTGTCAACGCGGAGAGATCGAGGACGGCTAAATATTGGAAGGGTCGACGCAAAAATACCGGAGAAATTTCCCGTTCCACCGATTGCTTGGTAATTTGACCGAATAATTGGCCGAGATGCCTCGTTAACTTTCACGGGGTTTCATTTCGCGATTTTTCGACTTCCTGATAGATTAACGCGCGTTTACTTTCCTACAAAATTGTGTTTACTGTCGGTAACTATATATATATTCGATTTACTTGTTTCGATTTTAAACCTTTCCCTGATCCGGTGTACCGGAAAAGTGACTCGATTGTTTCATGAACCTTTGTCTCGATTTTGAAGAATCGTCGGCAATGTTGCTCTCGGATTGGCGGGATTTCGAATAATTCGAACAACGACCGACGATGATGACGATGAATGACGGATTGACTGCGGCGCAATTAATATTAAAAATATCTAAAATCACTGACGATGAATTCCAACCCTCGGGCTGACGCCGTGACATACGATGATCCAGTCTCCGGTGATTTTCTGCGGATATTCCAAATTTTATCTCTCTGCTTTCTTTTTTACAATTAGTGTTTCGTACCGTGTCCAATAATTAATGGCTACTGAACTTGGCTATTAAACATCTTTCGGGCGAATTTTTATTCCCGTCTGTTTCTTGCTAATTCTGGAATTACTGCCACGCGTGTATGTTATGTTCTCTCTTTTTTTTTTTTTAATCTCTCTTTGCCCATCCTACTGTATGTCAATTGTGGACATATCCAGTACTGTATCTAACTGGTGATTACACGTTGTCGCCACGCTGCCTCGACACGTTCGGAGATATTTCCTGTTAAACCTATTCCCCACGTGCAAATGCCTTCGACATGCCAGGAATGTTCGTCCATAATTACAGTAATTTATCTGAAACAATTCTATGAGTACCGAGGTCATCATTCGATTTCATCCGTTTTTATTATTATTTCTCATAAATTCAGACATCAAATACCCTTTTCAATTCGAATCAGAATTACATTATCGAAAGGCGTGCAGCAGCCTTTTCACATTTCTCTCCAAATTTGATAATCCCGCATATTTTTTAAATGACGAAAAATTTATTGCCCCTGTGTTCTCCATTTTGTAAAATATTAAGCATACGGCCATCCACCACATCATATTTCCACGAGCCGAGCTATTAAAACTGTTTGTCAATTTCCTACAGGTAAAGTGTACAATAACACAATTTCATGCAATCAAACTAGTTTATGGAATTAAAAAAATCCCACATCTGCGAGTGCTATATATTTAATATACCATATCTAAATGAAACGTTCAGCACGTATTTAATACAGCTTTTTTTTTTCTTTTTAACAGTCTACGTATTTCTTGTTTTAATCTTCAAAGGTGTTCCATTGTACCGCTTATCAGCTTGCCGATGATAGAAGTTCTTTAAAACATTCAGAATATTATTCAATAATTGTCTTTGAAGTCTTCCCAAGTTTTCTTAGTTGTCAAGGCAAAGGTGTTTTTAAAAATTCGAAATATGAAAAAAAAAATATGTATATTGTTGGACCTTTTAATAGTCTTAGTTTTTCCATCATAGTTGTCGATGACAGGAATAGGTTTTGATATCGATCGAAGGGAATGATCGGTGACTCGCGTCGCCCTTTCAAGACGGATACACAACATTAGGTGGGAAAAGTCGATGGCTGGTGATAACATTTAATCGAGCGTGCGTCTCCAATGAATTATTCAGGAAGAAACGCCATTGCAGTCGCCAGATCCCTCAAGGGTTCCACGTTTATTCTCATTATCCTGGCACCACTCTTTCCGTCTCTTCCTGTCTCCTGTCCCGCTGACTTCTCGCCTCCTCTTCGTCTTCATCCCCCGAGTGCAATCGATTCCCTGCATCCTTCCTCCTCAACATTTCCCGTAAGGGAAAGCCGACGATAAAGGAGAAACAAAAGCCCCCTCACAGTACAAGCCCATTCCCAATAATCCTCGGAGCACCCGTAATCATACCCATACAATAAATACCGACAATACCCAACACCAATTACAATTAAACAACGCCGTGGACATCTTTTACATCTCCCTTTAATTTTTTCATCACAGTAATCGGCGCAATCCCGGGGAGGATAGACATTTTCCGCCCCTTTTCGAATCGCCCTCTCGCAATCAGTTATAATTGACGTGGTCATCGTCATTTATTCTTGATGACGCTTTGTAATAAATTCACGTGTGACAAATTGGGAGTTTTATCCAGACGCGGTATAGTACATCACAGAGTGATGTACTGATGGGCGTATTTAAAATGTATCGTAATTTTCGAAGAAACATTCCCTCCCGACTTTCGACTATCGATATATCCAACACCGAGGAGAAATGTTTACGTTAATTCACGGAATTATTATTTCACCGTAATTAACTGAAATAAATTCGGCCCAAGATTTGCTCGGAATTATGAGAGTTCATTTGAGGAAAATCATTTATTATTCGGAGTAACCAGATATTTCCTTTAGGACTGTTCAAGGAAATACTTCTTTGGTTGAATTTCTTCTTCTCAGGGTGTAGATAAATGCGCAATTATTCGCGGGAGGGGAAGGACCCATTGAGGGTGGAGGGGATCCTTGGACGTTTTCCCGGTTACGTAGGCTCATTATCGGCTCGACTTTCGGTGGGTAAGGTTGTCATACCAGGTACTGCGGGGAGGACCGACGGATTGACAGGACGCCAGTACCGGTTGGGATATCAAAGCGCAATAACTGTCTCGATATCGAAGTGGAAATAGCTGGCGACGCGGACAGAATTAAAGCGGCCTTACGAGAGCTCGTTTCTCGCTCTGTTGTGAAATCGGGCATCCGCCCACACCGCCCTCTCCTCTCCTCCGTATTTCTCCTCCTCTCCTCCTCTATATATTCTTCCACCTCTCCTCGACCTCCTGGCGGCGTACGCGCGCATATTCGTACTTCGCCTCGGGACGTAACGTATGCGTATGTCGCGTTACGAGAGGCGTTACGCAATCGCGAGTGCGTAGGCCAAGGCGCCTCCACCCGGCGCGCGATATCCGCCGCGGAGCGGTTAATGTACACCTTAAAAAATCCTACAGAAAATTCACCCACCTCTGGTGAAGTTCCTCGATAAATGTGTACTTCTGTGTATTACATGTGAATTGCCAGGAATTTAGCTTATGATCTCTAGGTGAATTTCTAAGCCT